GGTCACCTCTTTTTTGAAATCCTGATCTGGCCAATTGAAAGCGACCGATGGGGCGGGACCAGGTCCATTATTTGTCTCGTCCCCCGTTCCAAAATCCCCTTTGCCACAGCACCAAAACAAACCCCCTCCGCCATGAAACCAATCATTCAGAGCCGTGCGCCCCGGACGGGATTTGCCCAGGTTATTTGTTTGGGGGACTCCGAATACCCTTAAAATTGGGTTACTTAGCCAACCCTTCCGTACAAACCCAAACACAACCAAAACAAAAACACAAACAAAAAAATGATAGGCCCCCCCCTATTTTTTGAATAGAAGGGCGGGCCAAAAAGTACGGTATTGCCTGTAAAAAAACGACGGTATTGCCTGTTAAAAAAAGTCTGGAGTAATCAGTACAGGATTTACCGTGATCTTTTCTCGCAGTGTATAACGTATGTGCAAATTTGTGCGTACCTAACGATGAAAAACCGTCGTAATACGTATAATTACGATCATAAGATGTTGAGTGTGCAATGAATCTTTAAACGGAAGAAGAACAAGAGTCAGCTCTGAAAACGGCCTCAGCGCATGCACAGATGTTCCCCCCACCACCCGGTGCACATGCGCAGAAGCTGTTTTGGGGGCTTACTTCTGTTCTTCCGTTTCAACATCCATTGGAGTACACGGTGACATAATGTGTACCTCCAATAAAGGCCATAAAGTCTGCAAATCGTCAAAGTGTTAACACCGAAAATATTGTAATAAAATACTCTCCCAAAACTTGTTGATGCTTGAGATCATCGTCAAGTTATGGGCGATACTGTTGTTTCCTGCCTCTTTGGAGGAAAGACTTTCTGTGTGGCTGTTAGCGATACACAATTTTATCGCTGGAAAGGGTACTAAAAGTCCTTGGACTTGGAGTGTGGTTTGCTCACCTCATCTTACGGGCATTGTGCTTCAAGTATAACTGTTCTCTTCGCAGGCAGGCCGCGCTAGGTGAGTTGAAGAGCATTAGCCTTACGTCGTGGCACGACGGTGCTTAAAAGCAAGTTAAGCGAAGTCCGGCAGCTGCTAGAATTTCTGCTCCACACTGAAGGTATACTTACACGTCTAAAATTTCAGTAGTGTTCTATTGTGACTGTGCTGCTGTTTACCTTGCATATCTTGTATACAATGGTGAAACACAGGACCTAAACCTTAAAGCCTTAAAAGCCGTAAACGATTTACGCCCCTGGAATTCGTTTAATCGTTAAATGCCTTCGGAAGGGCATTTGAATTTTGCCTTACAGTCCTTTACCACGCCCTCCCTGAAGGCAACGTTTAACGCTCTAAACTTTGAAACGTGTACCCATTTATCTCTTATTAGATACAGCATACTTCCAGGCACACTCTTATCTACAGCGTGGATGCCAGGCACACACTAAAATAGTATGTACCTGGCATGTACACTGTAAATAACAGTGTTCCGTACCTGCAAGGACACACCATAATGCATTCGCTCAGGCCTTCCTGAAAGCATGGGCTTGTTTCAGTGTACTTTCAGGCACACTCTAATTAAGTAAGGGAGAGTGGGGTGATTTGTAACAGATTTCGGAATTCTCTATGCAAATACAGAATATTCTGCATGTCGGTGTCAAACTTGTGCCAGTTGAGCAGTCTCCCGGGTGGAAGGATCTTTAGTTAAACTGTAGTTTCAACTACAGTACCAAACTGCAGTTCCCGAACTAAAGTTAGTTTTAAAAAGAAACTGAAGACTAAATACAATTCCACTTTGCAGTTGAAATTGTAGTTTTCTGTCAGTTCACAATGTAGTTTTAGTGTTGATTTGAAGTTCAGTTGGAGGTTCAGTTTAAGTTTCAGTTACAATTTACTTAATATCCATTTCTGGAAGTAAAGCGACTGCTGAAAATAAATATTCAAAAACTGTCTCTCATCTAGTATGTTTCCGTACTTAGTATGTATTTTAAACATATTCTCTTATCGACATACTAACGTTGATAGTTATGTCTCAAAACTAGTACGTTTCCATACTTCTTATGCAATCTTCTAGTTCTATCAAGTAAAAGTTACATACCACTAGGGGAACTCAAAATTACAGTGGCTGCTTCATTGCTTTTAAAGCAGTTGAGGTTTACGTTGAATTTTAAAAAAAGTATCAGGTTAAAAGCAAACGTTTAAGGTTTATAGCTAATACAGTTGGCTTTACTTTAAATGGTATAGTTGTTCGCTGTTTAAAAATTTATGCAAGCTTCCCCTTTTTTAAAGTTAGCCTCCCTAAAGAGACAAAGTAACCTTAAGTCTGCGACAAGTTTACGTAAACAGACTTGTCGCAAAGGTCCAAAATATTTTGCGCTTACATTTTTTATACTGACAGTTTAAAATTAAAATTGGTCATAAAATGCAAGTTTGTCATGAAGAGGACTACAACTTTACATAGGATTACTCTAAAATTGCTTGTAGTTTAGAAGATGTAGAAAAATTCTTAGTTTTGATTTTTTTTTTATTAAATCCAAATCAAAGTAATTCTGTAAAGTCCTTCATATACCCTTTTTAAAATAAACATAATATTACATGCTAGTAGTATTAAATAACACTTTCGTTGAGTGAAGTTGGAGCAAAGCATATTGACTACCGCAAAAATGGACACTTAGTGCATCCTCCGCTAGGTGGCGCTAGTGTCGCATCATTTACGTCTTCGAGTTAAAAGTGTTCTTGCAGCGGATCAGAGGAATATTTTTGGATCAAACTCTGTGCAGCGCAAATATTTGAGATGCTATGACTCTACCACAAAAGGATTGACCTCGATAGGTGGAATATTAGGGAAATAACTTTGAATACAACTTTCCTCTCGCGCACGGCTACGGGGTCGTAGTTTGGTTAGGCTCCGATCGCTGTGCCTCCAAGTGCCTCAGTCCTCGATGCAAAGTATATTTTTTACGAGTGATCAAATCCGAGAGGAGGTGATTCCACTCACTATCACCTAAGGTTGAAATCACCTAAGGTGTCTTAATGATAACAGGGCTGAGGCTCTGTTTTGAAGTTTCACTCTCTTTTCGGAAACTGAACCCCAACTACTCTCTTTCGAGTTATTTCAAATGGCTTTTAAGTTGTTCGAAACTAAGGTTGAACTGCAGTTTGACTGCAGTTTAACTAGCACGAAAATGAGGGAGAAACTATAGTTGTTCCAAATAACTGGTAGTTTTTGCATAGTTAAACTGCAGTTTTACTGCAGTTGACTATAGTTTAACTACAATTTTTTTCTCTTAAAAGTTACTTTTAACTTCTTGACTTTTTAATTTTTTTTCACTTAAAACAATACATTTTACAACAGAAAAACTCCTGTTTTGTCATATAGTTTTAACTGCAGATCCTTCCACCCGGGCATGGCCCTTAATCTAGACTGTGCAGCTCCATTGGATCAATCTGGATTCCGTAATCTTGGAAATCTGAGACGCTTTCCAAACCCCTGCATGCTGTTACGAATCGCCCCGCCACGGGGTGATTTGTAACAGCCATGGGGCTTTTTATAACATCCTACACATTAAATGAAACATCGTCGGGAACGTTATCTCCTCCAGCAGTAGTTCTTCGGATGTCCTGCAGACGCCTTAAAATCTACAATACAAGCTGCCGTTGACCGCCTCAGCATTAACTGATCGGCTATGTCAATCCTAACGTCACTTTTTTCAATTTTGGAGGAAAGAATAGAATAACTCTCTTGAAAATGCATTTCGAGCTGTGTAAATGTATTGGAATAAGGCAGCAGATGATTCGAGAAATAATTCAAGCATTTAATTGCAAAAACTACCTAAATTCTTGTTTTCATACGGATCTGTTACGAATCACACGCTCAGACCTATGTGGACTTTTTTCAC